GGGCTGCAGCCGCTGCCGAGCGAGCAGCGCACGTGCACGCCGGCGAGGGGTTTATGCTTTGATGGGTCTTTTTTACAGCAAAACCCCATGGGATGACAGGAGGCGGAGGAGCGGTCTGTGAAGGAAAGGAAGGTTGGTTGACAAAGAGGTGGGAAACAACTGAAAAGCTGCCGTTCGAACGGGCACAGTAAGCTGGGATCGCGCGCTCTCCTTGGCTTCCCTTCTCCCTAACCAGTATCCCACGCACAAACGCAGGGGTTTGAAGGACCCCAATGAACAGCTGGATAAGCCTGAACACAAATCAGGGTATTTCCTATGAAAAACCAACTGGGTCAGCGTAAATAGGACTTAAAATAAAAATGTCAGTCCTTGCTTTCACCCTCACCCTTCCAATCCTGCCGTTCATTTGCTCGCTGACACGCGACAGCTTTCATGCCACGGGTCACCTGCGGCACCCTTGGACCTGACTACGTGAATGGTATTGGTTTTGAGGAAGAGAAACCTTGAGCTAAAACAGTTTGGTGCCAAACTTGTGATGAAAAGGTACCCACCGCCGCAAAAACGCTGCCGAATAAGGGGACGCCCTGAATCGATGGCACAAGGAATTTCAGTTTCCACTTTCTAGCAGCACCCTCGTTAAAGCAACTGAAAAGGCGGAGCTCGCAGCGTTTACCCCGGCTATTTCTGCATTGGTGACTCGAATTCTGGGCCGCTCTGCTGCGGCACAAGGAGTTAAGCGTCTTCGCCTGGGGAGGCTCAGGGGCAAGAGGACGGTGCTGGCCTTGCCCGTGGTGGTCACGCACCAACAGAATCTCCTCGGCCGGCCTTTTGCCCCCCCGCCCTATCCAAGGAGTTTTGCCTTTCTCATGGCTTGTATGAGCTCACTGCAGAGCGCTCGCCCTTCTCAGCTGCACGCCTGGGGAGACCCCACCGATTAAAGGTGACCCCCCAGGCAGTATTACCGTAAGGCCTAAGGAGGAAGGCTCGACGCAGGCAGGGGGAACGCCACAGCCAGCGCCTCTGCAAACGCCATCGGAACGCAGCCCTTCGGCACCGGTACCTTAATAAATAAAACCTTTGCTTTGCCTGGTTCTCGGAGAGGATTTTTCCGCGTCCGCATGCGTGAGGCTCCCTGCCGGCTCGGCTGCTCTCGCACCGCTGCTCAGCTGGGAACGTTTAGAGTCTGCTGGTCTGCTGGTATCAATCCTGACTGGATGGCAAGATAAAAGTCTCCAGGATATCGCATTCCTCCCTGGTTTCTTACGGCTGGTGGCACCCTGCGGCATGGGCTGCTGTTGGGGTGGGCACGGGGAGCGGGCGGGGGGGAACACAGACATGGGACAAATCCATAGAAAACTGCACTCCGTTATTTCTCTTGCTCATGGCAGAACTGCTTTGTCTTGGGGAAGGAGTTAACCCCGGTACTTTGCTTTAGCCTGCAGTAAATCCTTCCCTCATTACCCTTTTAAGGCACGGGCTGTTTCCATAGCCCAGACAGCACCAGGAGCGTTTCCTACACCGACCGTGAGCCGACGCTGCTGCGCCCCCCGTCCGGCTTCTCCCACCTCGATGCTCGGGAGCCGCAGCTGGCATCACCGTGACTGCAAGGGCCACCAAGATCCCCGTGCTCACGTCTTTGCTTCCACCGAAACCCTGCTGCTGTGAGAAGCTGAGGAAAGCTCCCGGCCCTCCCGTTCCCACCCAGCCCCTTCCCACACCCCCTGCTGCTCCTGTCCCACCTGAGAGCTCCCACTGCATCCCCCACCTCCCAGGGGGCCCCCCGGGCCCCCCCCATCCCACCGTGGCTACCGACAGAAACCCAGCACCTCCCGGTAGTTCACACCAAAGCAGGCAGGCGTGCGCTGTGAACGCGGCGGTCACGGCTCTTGCGACATCTTTGTCACTTGTTCATGAGCCTGGGTGTGTAAGGGGGGGGAAATGAGTCAGTCCGTGTACGCCGCCCGTGACTGGTCTTAAAAAGCTTGGGTTTTGAAAGAAATGAAAACATTTTCAGCTTTCCTCTACGAGCGAGAGCACGTCTGAAAGGCTCCCCACCTGCTGGTTACCAATACCGTGGCAATTTACTGAGGAACGGTAAGCGCAGCTGTAAAAACGATGAAGAAAGTCCATCGAGCACCCAGGGGATGGTTTGAGATTATCTAAAGGCTCCCCAGGGATACTCCGATTGCAGACGGGCAGAAAGCACAGACATGGGCTCCTGGGTTAAAGAGTCAAGAGCCCAGGGGCAACCAGCAGCCACCAAAGCTGCCGAGGTTAAACCCTATTTAGGTGTTCCGGGCAGCCAAGGTCTGTCGCTTCACAGGAGCAGACAATGCCCGTCCGATGCGGGCAAACACCACTGCTCGGATTTGTTTAATGCTGACATCTAAAATTAGCTTGCCTTCTTAAAACTAATTCCTCTAGGCTTTGACTCCGGCACAGTAATATTTCTCGATGGCGGAGGGACTGCCCGTGTACCGGCACGGACCCGGAGAGCTCCGTGACACCTTCCGCACGGCTCCGGAGCGCCTCCCAGTACTGTTAGAAACTGTCCCCAGCTTCCAAACATGTGGAACGTGTCCAGAGATGGGGACACCAGCTCTGGTTTGGGGAGAATTAGTTAACTACCTCAACCAGCCTCTGGCTACAGGTGGGCTTCTTCTTTTTGTCTTTTTTTGTTATTGTTGTTGTTGAAATTATTAAACTACAGCTGCGGTCAGCACAGCCCCAGGGCGAAGGCTGGAGAGCAAACCTGGTCTCACCAGCAGCATCGAAGCGCTCGCGGGAAGAGCGCAGCGTAACGAGCTGCTCAGGTTTTCCCTCATTTTCATCAGCGAGGTTTTTTTCCAGCCGCAGCCTACCGGGAGAGCGATGTTTTTGTGAAAAGCAGAGTAAAGGAGACGCTACCATCACCGCCCTACCGCCGCTAATGCCAAGAGCCCCGGCGCAAGGGCTCCTGCAGCTTGCCCCAAACCTGTGGCTGCAGAGGCACCTTCCTGGCTTTCCCATCCTCTCTGCAAAGCAAACCGCGGCCGCGGGTCTGCGAGGGCTGGAGAATGAGGTGCCAGCGCCGGCCTCTGCCCAGGGCACGTGCCGAGCAGGTCGCCGTGTTAAGACAGAAAGGAAAAGGCTGCTTACTCTGAGCGTCTTTGCAATCGGGGAGGGAGAGGACGGGGGAGAATCTGGCTGAGCCTTCCTGCTGCGAGTGTATTCCTTGCTCCTGGTGTACAAGGACGACATGGCCTCTCGGGCTGGGGCTCTCCGAGCAGCAGTACCGGTCTGGCTCTCCCGTCGCTCCACGGCGCTGGGCAGGTCCTTCTTCCAAGGTCAGAACAAACTAATTAAACTATTCACAGCTCTGGTAATTAAACCCTGCTGGTTAGGGGGTATAATTTTAGGCATTAATCTGCTGCAGGGAGAGTGGAGGCTCCACAACGCTTCTTGTCCAAGAAGAAGAAGAGAAAGTGTCGAGCACTCGCTGTGCTCCGGCGCTGGGCGTTGCTCCGTGCCAGCCTCACCGGCCGGGCCCCGTCCCAACTTCTCCGCAAAAGGACATTTCCCCTCGTCCAGAGCGCGTGCCGCAGGACCAGAGCGATCTCCCCGAAATCTGCGGGAGGCAAAACCTCCCGGCTCAAGAGACAGAGAACCGGAAAAGCGGCCGGGTTTATCTAGACGTGACGCTTTTGCCAAAAAAAGAAAGAAAAGAAAACCAAACTCTGTTTCACTCCAGAGTGCCGCCGCGAGCTCTCTGCCGTCGCTGAGCAGAGCTGCATGCTTTAAGCGCAAGACGAAAGCATAAATCAGGAAGAAGCGCTGGTTTGGGAAGGGGCAGTCCAGATGAAGTTGTGTTTTGTTCCGTCCTCCTCCTCCTCCTCCTCCCGGGCGCCGTTACCCACGCGCAGGCTTCTCCCGGCCCTCCCCACCGCTGCCTTCTGACATTCCCGATCCTGACTCGCTCCGCGAGGCATGCTGGAGGG